GTAGGGAAATACCCTGTGCAGTGACATATGGCAAAATTTTGAGCTAATAGCCTAGCAGGAACTGTGGGCTGAATGTTCATATAACCATAACGGTCAGATGCTATTCTGCATATTTTTATTTATGATAATGAGAACTCATGATAGTTATAAGGAGAAGAGGATCAGGGTAAATTTTTATGACTACCTGCCTTAAAATATTTGTAAAAAGTCCAGTTCTCCCAAACCATAAAATGCAATATCCCTTAGGAGAACCTGTTAGTACATCTTAGCACCGCTGCTGAGCAGAGCTGGCACAAAAACAGAACAGGAAAAATATGACTGAGCCCTCCTCCTCCAGCTGTACCCTCCGTATGATGGGTTATTCAGCCCTGACTACTTGTTGGGTGTTTGTTTTCATTCTGAAGGGAATAACTGGAATCTTCTTTGTGGGACTTCAAAAATGCTTCATCAAAACTCAGACTAAAGTGCTACCTGAGACGACAGAGGCCAAGATCCCTGAGCTTGAGGTAGGTGAATAAAACAGGACACCCCTCTGCCCTCAGTGAAACCCACTCCTCTCCCTGGCATAGGAGAGCAGTTGCCATCCCTGCCACCCTCCCATCTTCTCCACCCTTCCCTGAGATGCTGCAATATAGAAATAATGAGTTGTGATTGCTTCATAAAATGATCTTATTTCAGAGGATTGCTTATAAAAACAAGTGAAAAGAGACGGGATTAGACAGCCAACAGACAAAAACCTCTCAGCACAATACCGGAGATCAAGAACAATAATCCTGTTGTAGTCAAAAGGTCGCAAGGCAGCTCAGGATTAGCAGGCACCAAAAAGTCAATCAAATTGTTTTCTCCAAGATTTGAGCCTTGCATTCTCAAGCAGAATGAGGCAGAAGTAAGGGATTTAAACAAGCAGCTGCACTTAAGAAATGAGATTTGAGAAAACTCTTGGTGTACAGACCTGAGAGGTGGGAAGGACTGGGCTAGGGTCTCTTCCCTGTCCTGCATGGACCTTCCACTGATGTGCCTGATTGCTTCCTGCATCCGTTAAACTTTTGCCCACCACATCCTGCTGCATGGAGCCTCACGCTTTGTATGCTGCATGGAAAAAGTGTTTGACTCCATATTTTAACCCCTCTCTGACAGCCTGACCTGGGGTGACAGCTCAGTCCCTTGACAGCAGTTGTTCCCTGTCCCCTTTCCCATCCCTGAGGCCCTGGTGGTGGCACAGCCCTCCTGTTTCCCCTTTTGCAAGACGACGGGTGTTAGCAGATTGAATCCCCCTCAAGGAAGCTGCTGCAGATAAAACGCCAGCAGGACACGTGTTTGAAACGAAGCGTGGGCAGAAGCATTTCCCTGAATCATGACCCAAATTCCCAGACACCGATTCTTTGATTATGCCCTAAGAAGCTAATAGATCTTTTCAGCTACTGTCGTAAAAGGGATATGACTTCCCAGGCTTTAGCAGAACATTGCCCCGGGTAGAGAGCTGAAATGTAAAACCCAACGAGATAAATGTAGATTTAAGCTCTAGTCATCTCTTCCTGGAGCCAGCACGCTGCCAGGTCCTGCAGGCAGCACCTCCCCAACCCCGCGGCTTTCACACCAGAGACTTCAAAAATGACCCAGACTGGGTCAGGTTGTGTTGGCTCCTTCCTATGACTTCCCAAAGCCATAAGAGAAAACTCTATAAAAGAGATATACAGCTCCAGATATTTTTTTGGAGAGAAAAATGCCTTTTGCCAGCTTGCTCTATGGGCTACCACCACCGACATAGACAATGTTGCCTTGGCAGAAAGCTCAGCACAGACCCATCCAATAATCTTTATATATCTCCCTCCCGAAGTGCCTGCCAAAACACACCATGGACTAATGCAACAGCAGAGACATGTGGTATAAATTACAGAATACAGCCGTGCAAAGAATTTTTGTGAGGAATAAATTAAAGTGTTCGATCACAAAATCGGTAGCAGAAGGAGAGAGGAATTAAGTAGTAAGAGCAAAGCAGAGAGATGTTTTAATCCTGGGTTTTAAATGAGTTGGGGTACTCCAGAAGGCTCTTCCAGATGGTGGGGACTACACAGGAGAAGGCTCTTGGATGATGAACAAAGGGAGGAGAGAGCAGGGTGGTGTTGGGTGAAGGTGAACAGGAAAGGCAAGGTTCATAATGTGTCCTCCCATCTGAGGACCAGCTGGGTATTGCACATGCACCCATTGAGCACCATGAGCCACGGCAGATGAAGTCCAGTTGCTCCCTGGAAAGGGAGAGGTGACTCTGGGTAAGCCAAGGGAAGGAGAAGCAGCCAGTGGTGGGGAGAGTATGTCGCACCACACCATGATGAAATCTTACTCTTCTTCCAGGGGGAAGAAATCACCACCACCTACTTTGAGCAGTCTGTGGTTTGGGTGCCTGGGGAAAAGCCCATTCAGAACAAGGAGTTCCTGAAGAACTCCAAAATTTTTGACATCTGCAGAAATGTGACCATCTTCTGGATCCACCCCACACCAATAGCAGGTATAAGGAGCCATCTCCTCACCAAGGTGCTCATGAGCCCTCTCACCAGGAGCAGCCCTGTCACACCCCCATGTCCCCTCTGCCATGTCTCCTGCTGTAACCTGGTGGGAACCCATTTTCACAGCCTGGCTGTACATCTCAGACATTAACACAATGTTGGCCATGACCACGGGAGATCATGGCCAATGTAATAGCAGGGGCTGAAGTTTCTCCCTGCAAATTGCTTGTCTCTGTCAGCTCCCCACCGCCCTGCACTTTGCAGAGTGGCCACCCTCCTCATAACAAGGTAAAAAAAAAACCAATCCTTTGTACCTGCAAAGAAACCATCACTGCTGGAAACTGGGACGCCTAAATTCTCATCACTGCATGAACATCAGAGCATGAGCAGACATCTGCATCTAAATCACACGGCAGGGTTGCCACCTCCAGCTGCTCACTACACAGCCCTCGCAGAGGTTGTGGCCTCTGAGATCTGCTGGTGTAATTACCTGCTCTCTCTAACCCACTTCCAGCCGAATGAGCTAGTTTAAAAATCCCTACTGAGAAAACTCCCTCTGCTTTGCAGCCACAGAGGAACATTGAGTCCCCCACAGGTACCACCAGCTCACGGCCATCAGTGGTCCTAAGGGCAGGTGGGAGTCAGAGATCCCAATGCTGGGGGGGCTGATGTTCCCTTTCTGCTTTCTTGTCCCTCCTATTAGATCCTATCAGCAGCTGAGTTTCAGTAAAGGAAATTAATGTCACAGTGGGTCTTACCTAAGCCACAGGTTCTGTAGCTGGGCATAATCTGCCCCAGATCATGTTGCTTTGCTGGGGCTCTACAAATCCCCTCCACAGCAGCAGAAACCATCATGTTTCCCTGCACCCACAGTCCATGCAGGAGATGCCAACACCACCCACTGACACCCAAAAACACGGGGAGGGGACAGGCCATTGCCTCCTACAGCCCTTCTCCCAGGCTGGGTGAGAGCAGGAGGCAATGGAATACCACTGGTTTGCTGGTGGGATTTTCCTGTGTCTTGGCACCAAATTTTGGTAGAGACATTAATCCTTGCTGCTGCATTTGTCCTCCTGGTCTGTGGGGGACAGCAACATTTGGGCTCTTCCCATAGCTCCTGAGCTAGCCAACCTTGAAGGGGCAGAAGAAGAAGACCCTGAGTTGCTCGTAGACAATCAGAGCTGGTTGGATGGGGGGAGTGAACATGAGGTGGAGAAGGATACGCAGCCAGGGCCCAAACGTCGGGCACGGCAACTCACCGAGGAGGATCTGCCTGTCAATGACTACGTGAGTGTGGAGAATCACATCCTGGGCTGCCTTGGCCATGGTCTGGGGTCTCCTGGTCATGCTCCTGGGGCACCCTAGCCATGGTCCTGGGGAGTTCTAGCCATGGTCTCTGGGTGTCCTAACTGTGCTCCTGGGGTGTCTTTGTTGTGTTCCTGGGGTGCCCTGGCTGCGCTCCTTGGGATGTCCTGTCCGTGCCCCTGGATGTCCATGGCCTGGGGTGCCCTGTCCATGTTCCTATGCTCCACCCATGCTTGTGAAGTGTCCTGACTGTGTTCCCAGAGTGCCTCAGACATGCAGCCCCCTCACTTCACTGTCTCTGCCTCTGTCTCTTCCCGGCAGTCGGAGAACGGGCTGGAGTTCCACCCCTTGTGGGATGAGCGAGGCTACTGCTGTGCCCAGTGCCGCCGCGCCAACCGCTACTGCCGGCGAGTCTGTGAGCCCCTCCTGGGCTACTACCCCTATCCCTACTGCTACCAGGGCGGGAGGGTCATCTGCAGGATCATCATGCCCTGCAACTGGTGGATCGCGCGGATGCTGGGCAGGGTGTAGCACCCACTGCGCAGTACCCAGTGCCCCATGCCTTCCTGCCACGTCACCACCCACCCGGGGGCATCCTGACCTAGCCGACACACAGGTCACTACCTATTTGATGGCCAGTGAGTGTGCAAGCCTGGAAACCACAGCACCCTCACCACCTGTGTTCCCCGGCATCCTGCACTGCTCCGGCGGGGCTGGGGCAGGCCGTGCTCGAGTGTGTCGCCACCATGCTGAGCAGCGAGAGGCAAACAATAAACGTCTTGTATGAGCGATTGCAAAGAAAATAGAAAGTCGTTTAGTCTCAGTCTGTGATGCTTAATGGGTCTGAGAAGTGATCTAATTGCTTGGCTGCCTCATCACGAACATCCATAACTCAGGTACCGGCACTGCCGGCACTCGCCTCGCTGGGAACGTGCAGAGGTCCCTAATTTGCTCCCTGATGGCGCTGGTGGTTGTTCAGCATGTCCTGACCCTCTGTTCCAACATGCTGTGATGTGTTAGGTAGTTGTTAGTGACAACTCAGGAGTACCATCAGTCCCCTCTGGAGCAGTGTGCAGCACAGGCAGAGGCAGGAGTAGGAACAAGGATCTCTCCAAGAAACCAAACAACCAAAGCCAGAGGGAGCAGAGGTGTGGAGGACCCCAAGTGCCACCAGCTCTCCCCAGCCCTGCAACCAACAAATGGGCAAAACCTGGTCTGTACAAGGGAAAAGTCCTTGACACTGCAGCTGTCCTGAGCAGGACAGTGTCTACCACAGTGCTGAGGGCTAGTAGCCAAAAACCTTATGCACCCCCTTGCAGCATTCCTCTGCCTACAGCTCTGGGGCTCATGCCAGATCCAGGTTCCATCTTTCATCCCAGGGAGCCAGGTGCTGCTGAGGAACTTTGACATCCCACAGGTGTCACCAGGCTAAGCTCTCTCAGTGTCACCAAGGGAGCACACACTACCATGGATGGAATGTATCTACAGACAGGGAGCAGAGGACAGGTTCTGCTCACTGCCACTGTGCCAGGTGCCAGCTGTGGTGTCTCCAAGGCTGCCTAACCCTCCTTGCATCCCTGCAGCTCCTACAGAGACATGAACATGTTTTAAGGGCAGTTCTCTTCATCCCTCTTAACAGAATGATTAAAACACTAGGAGCATAGCGCAGCAGAGCTCCCCACATGGCATCCCAAGAGACACTAACCAGTCTTGGGGACAGCAATCGTTTCTGACAAGTCCCCTGAGATATTTATCCCCCTGAGAGGAGGGTTAAAACACAGAAGGGAGGTGTTTGAAACCCACCCAGCCACAGCTGCTGCAAGAAACCAGAGCACTGGGGCCAGGCAGCAATGCTCCTGTCCCAGTTAACTGGGTCCAGACAAGTGACCAAGGCGTTTCCAATGCCTTTGCCTGGTCAACAGTGTCCCAAGGCTGCCTGGCACCGCCCCCAGCACATGTCTGTACCTCTGGGACATCTCTCCAAACTAAAGTGAGTCACCTCTGCACCCTCTAATGGCCTCAGTGCTGTCTCTGCCTGTGGGAATGAGCAGGCTGGACAAGACTGCACTCCTGAGGTTCGCACAATCCATGCTAGATTTCCTGCAGCAGCTTGGAAACCTCCAGGTTTCCTGGGCCACTCTCTGCCAGCACCATCCCTGCCCCACACACCTCTGCCAGCTGCCTTGGGAAGGAATCTGCCCATGGAGGCAGGAGCACAGACCAGGGCAGGGTCCTTCCCTCTGCAGAGGCTTTCCAATGAGGATGGTTTTATCCAAACCTGGCCCTGCTTCTCCCATGTTCCTGTCCTGTCTCCATCCATCTGTTAATTGCTGCCAGGCAATCTCCAGCCCAGTTTCTGTGCTCTGACACAAGTCTGCCTCACTGTCCCAGCCAGGAAGCTTTCAGCCAGCCAGGAGCTGACAGCAGTCTGATTCACTCACCTGGGTTAAACACAACACAAGGTTTCCAAGTGCTCCCCTCCAGGTTCCTCCATCAGCAACGAGACTGTCCCATACCAAGTCACTGGCCGCACCACAGGGTGGTTTGACTGGGGCAACTCTCCCAGCACTGAGGATGTGTGTGCCAGAGGGGTGATAAAGGGCCACCACTGCTACCCACATTTCCACTGCTCCTTTTACACCTGCAACCTCCCTAGGAACAGAACAGGCAGTCCCACATCCAGCTGGACAAAACCCATTTGAGTTCAGTGCTCAAGACCCAAAAATCTCCCAAGCTTGGCAGAGGGGAGCTTCATCAGGCTCACTAAGACAAAGGCTTGCTGATGAAACAGTCCAAAGATGAGCAGCAACAAATGAACACAAAAGCTTAAATCCATGTTTCTTGCCCTGGGGAGCCACTGGGGAGCACCCAGTACTGCCCTGCCCTCTGCTCCAGCCAGCGGGTGGCTGGCCACCAGGGATGCACATGTTTGCACTGGGCTGAGCTTACCCACCTGGCTCCTGGGCTAGGATGCTCCAGGCCCTCTGCTCCAGCACTGTTACACAACCGCTGTTATGAAGAAAATTCAATTACAGAAGTTATTTGTAAGCACAAGTGCACCAGTGAGCATCAGAGGAACGCGAGCTGTGATGGCCAGAGGTTCCTGACTGGCCTGGGGTGAGCAGATCACCTCCTGGGGGGGTTTGCTGCTCTTCAAGCAGAGGAATTTCCAGGAGATGAAAGGAAAAGCCAATGAGGTTTCAAAGAGTAAAATATCTTAATATTTATTGTGTCTCAGGACAAAAGAGTTCTACTCAATACATAAAGTGAGTTAAAGCAGCATATAATACTGACGATCAAGTCACAGCTGACTCGGTGCAAGGACACCTACCAAGGTAAAGGCACCAGGAACTACATCACCAAACCTTGCTACAGCTTACAAAGATCCACTACAGCCCGTACTTAAAGAAGTACAACTATAAAAAAGTATATAAAACCCAGGGCAGGGATGAGAGAGAGCTTGGCAACAACCCGAGACCTTGCAAAGCCAAGAGCTTCAGGCAGGCAGGGCTGTGTTTAAACGGGGCAACAGCCCCATCTCGAGAGCAGCCGCATCCGGAGATGAAGGGCCATCAAGCGGCCGCGGAGGGGAGGGGAAGCTTTCCCCACGGTGGCACTGAAGACGAGCACTGTGAGTCCCTCGAGGCTGCCGGCACAGTCGGCTCGGCTCGGCACGGCACTCAGCAAAGAGCTGGGGGCTGCAGCGCCTGGAGGAACGCGCTGGCTGTAACCACCGCAGCTACACTCATTATCCCAGGCGGTGGCACAGCAGAGTAGTGTTAGGACAAGTCCCTGAGCGCACCAGGACAGCTGCTGCACTCGTTTCTATGAGCTAGTCGAGAAGAAGATCAGTCAGTTCAAAGCAAGATTTCACGACATGCCATCCAGAGGAAAACGAGGTGGTGGAGGCATCCTCTCCAGCCACGGAGAGCATTCCCTGCAATGCACACAGCAAAGCGTTAGCAGACAACGCCGAATTTACACACAGCTTAAAATGACACAGCAGACATGGTCTTGCAGGTGCCCTCTATCCCCACACGTGGTACCCCCAGCTCAGCAGTGACCAGGCAGCAGCCAGGGCTGCAGATGTTGCCCACCAAGCTTACAGACATACCTGGCCACAGGCACAGTGTGCTGGGGACCAGCTACACCATCTCATACTGATTGTTTGTGATGTACCGGGACAGGCAGCAGGAGAGAACGATGCCAATCAACTGAAGAAGAGAACAAAAAACCCCCAAAACCACACATCAGAGGTAGCCAAAACTCGCACGAGGTGTTTTAAGTAGAAAACCTGACAAATTGCTCCAGAGTTTTACAAAATCCAAGAATGAACAGTAGGGTTTACAAACCACAATGGGGGTTGCTGCACCCTGCTTTGGAATCATGGAGAGAAGATGAAGCAGAGGATCCTGGCAGGCACCAGCCAAATGAGCTCCTCATAAGAGATGCTCCACGTCTCATCCTGTTACATTTTGCTTCATGAAGCATCTACTGTTTTATGGTAATTGTGGAGATTACACAGATATCAGGAGCGTCACAGCCAATTACACAGCCACTGGAGAACGGCAGCACCTCTCCCTGTTGCAAGGGCACGGGGAAGCAAGGCTGCTGTTCTCACATCAGCATCTGAAGGACACGCTCTGTTATCACTACACGGCCCCCCAGTCCCTGTGCAGACATTCAGGGCCAGATCCTGCACAAGCCTGACCTCCACAAGTGAACTTAGAGGCACATCAGCACGATGGGTCCCTGTCAGCTGCACAGCCAGCAAGGCTTGCTGAGGGAGCAATAAAAGCTAGGAACTAGTTACAATTCCCAAGCCTGACATCAGCCGAGACAATTTTGCAGCTGGAAGTGTGTGTTGCAGTTCACCATTTGTGTGTTGGCCACATCTCGGTGACCCCATGGTGAAAGAGCCCAACAGAGGAGAGCAGGGTGAGCGGCTGATCTCAGCAGAGAAGCTAAAGATTTTGGGCTGAAAGCACTTGGTAGCACAAGCTGCAGCCAAGGGCTGTCAGCTACTCCTCTCCCCCAGGTCAGTCCATCCGTTACGGAAAACACACGGCGACATGCTCATTACAGCAGAATATCTTGGCAGGGTTCCGTCTCCCCAAGCCAGTGTGAGCAGCCAGCAGTCCTGGCTGGGAGTGCCTTGAGGCTCATGCCATGGCCTCTGCTTGCAGGAACAGGGGGAGGACAAATTCAAGCCCCTCCAAAGTCAAGGTGAGCTGCTTGCTGCCCAAAGCCGCACAAGCTTCCACAATCCGGCTAAAGAAGGGCAGGCTGTGCATCCTGCAGCTCCCACTGCAATGCATCAGAAAACCCTTGGCACCTCAGGAAACCCACTGCAGCATCAGAGTGCCCAACCCCAGCGTGGTGGAGCTGGGGGCAGGGGCCTCTCATTTCCTGCCAGGATAAAGCCTGCTGGAGCAGGGGCTGATGAACATGCTGCTGCTGCAGCTGCTGCAGGAAGTGTCCTGCAGGATAAAGTAAAGGAGAGGTTGGGGAGCAGGAGGAAGAAGACACAATGTCAGGGTAAGGTGGCATGTGGGGTGTCAGCAACCAGCACAACTGGTGCCCCACAGGCACTCACAGGGTCTTAGTTACACAGAAGAGAAACCAAAACACCTCCCTGATAACAAGGGAAGTTGGTGGGTAGGAAAAGGAAGGGCATGAATCTGATCCCTGCCAACAGCAGGTGCAGGGAGTTTGCCAGCCTCCATTTGTTTTTTCTTGAAATCAGTTTTTTTTTCAGAGAGGAGTTCTTCCCAAATAACCTGGGCTCATGGAAATAGAGCTGGTGCTTCAGCTCTGGGTGTAAGAGACTGGAGCCTGCACAGCAGTGAGATTAAACCCAAGGGAAATCTGCGGAACAGCTGCTCCTCCCTGGCTGAAACTGGCCGTGCCTTTTGTACACACATCAGACTTTGCACCGAAATTAAATACCTCCAGAGACACACTAGCTTCACTCTGCACTGCTCCCGAGCCAGGCAAGGGAGATTTACCTGGAAACACGCGATGCCAAAGGAGATTCCAGCCACAACACTCATTTTGGACTCCATTGTCAACGTGACCAGGAAAAAACAACCCTGCAGAGGAGGGAATGCGAGCATGTGGGTCCAGTGTTTTCCACCCCCAGGAGCACAAACCAGCACCTCCCCAGAGACCAGCAGCTCATGGGGAAGATGCTCCTGTACAAGGAGGCAGGAGGGTTCTAGCTGCTCCCCTCCTGCCTGACCTCGGCGAAGCCATTTCCTTATCAGTGCTGCCCCGGCCAGGCAGGCTCACAATCCAGACACCTTATCAAGGGGAGCACTACCCTTGGGCTGTTCTCAACAGGAGCACAGGATTGAATATGGTGACTCATCAGAGAAACTTGCCTTGCATCATCCAACCATCCCTGTCGGATGAGGTCACCTGCGTTTACCACCGGGTCAGGACTTTGCACTGACAGGAAATGTCAGCACTGCAAAACAAACTTTACTGGGAAACTACCTCCTTACTCACCTCTTCTTCAAAACACACAGCCCCAAATGCCAACACTTGGATCCAGCTAGTCCCTGACCTCCAAGGAAGGAGTGGGGGAACCTCAGATGGGAGGGAGGATTTCAAACTCTTCCCCTACCTCCACTGAGGGGAAATCCCTGGGCCACAGAACATCTGCACTCATAGAGTAGTTCTCCTTCCAAGTCTTCCAGGGACAGACTAGCCCTTCTCCACCCACCCATCCCTGCCCCTAGGACTGGCAGGGGACTTTTTCTTATCTTGACTTACATCCACAAACACTTTCAGTTTGGCCTTGTTTGGGTCTTTCAGGTCTTCCTCTGAGCAGTCATCCTGGCTCTTGCAACAGCTCTTGGGGATGCCCCTCTGGCTGAAGTATTCAGTCCTTTCCCAGTCCGAGTAGTTCTGCACTCCACAGCAGTGTAGCTGGAGGAGGGAAACACATTTGAGGAGCATGGTCACACAGCAGGGTCCTGCCCCCCTAGTCCCACCATCACTCCCACAGCTCCCCTGCTCTTGCCTCTCCAGGAACCGCCCCATCTCACCCAGCATCTCCTCCCAAACTCAAAAGCCTGTGGTGCAAAAGGACCCCCAGCACCACGATGGAGGATGCCAGGGGACACCCTGGGGCGAGGGGAACATTCCCACTGCTGCCATCCAGACACCAGCCCGGGGCACTCACCGTTCTCTGGATGGTGTCGACGGCCTCACTGTGCCGATCCGCAGTCACGTTGTAGTCCTTCAAGGCCAGGTTCAGGTTACTCTCAAAGTTTGTCTTAATCTGAGAGAGAGAGAGGTCTCAGTGGCAGTGCTGTCCCCTCCCGTGCTCCAGGACCCACGTCCCCATGTTAGTCACTGCTCGGTGATGGCAGGAATGACTCTGGCTGTGGCCAGCAGACATTTCCCAGCCACCAGGCAATTAGAGGCTGCGTTAAAGGGCAGGCTGGGCTGAGCTGTGGCAGAAGGGATGCTGTATGCAATAACAAGGACCTGTACAGTGCCAGCTCCCCCCAGGCAGGCTGCTCCGTGGCACAGGAACCCTCCGAGGAGCTTTAATTACAGAAATTATTGCAGGAGATAAACCAGTGCCAGAAATCATAGTCCAGGGCTACTCTGACTGTGCTGGCAGAGGGGCAGCAGTGCACTCTGCACTCAACCTTACCCTCCTGAGTTATTATGGAGACCAAAACACTCTTTGAGCTGTTTTAACCCCATTACAGGTAAACTAAGCACCACTCCCAGGGGTGACATCTCCCTCCAGTGACATCTGCCACTGCACTTGGATTAAAACCAGCATCAAACTCACTCCACAGCACTGGGAGATGGCAGTGGCTTCCCAGACTCACCTCGTGCCTGAAGACGAACCCCACGACGGCAGCCACCAGGACGATGAGGAAGATGAGGGACAGGAGCATGGCATACTGCGGGCACAAAGGGTGGGATGGGAGGGGGTGG